TTCACTCAACCGTTTGACTGATTTTTCGAAAATTTAAAAATTAACTTTGATCCAGGCAAGAAAATTCTATATTTGCTAAGTCCTTGTACTATATTTTAACTAATTTTTGCTATTGATCAACAAATAACTGATATTTATACGGACAGTCTTAAATTACTTCGAATACAACAATTTCGTCCACTTTACAGCTTGTTAACGGTTATTAACAGACTTGTTAACGATTTCCATTTTTCTTTTAAAATTCTTAATTTAGCATTTACATACACAGTAGCAACTCTGGTTTTAAACATCTGCATAGACAAAATCACCAGTAGTGATGATAAATACTTTATAATTTTTACTGATTCTCAAAGTGCTCTAAAAGCGCTTGACGGTACTTGTATCTTTACATCAACATCTCCGTTAATGACTGAGCTCAAGTCCGTATCAATACACTGCAGAAAAACTTAATAATAAAGTTGAACTCATTTGGATTTCTTTGCACAACGGTATACCAAATAATGAGTTGACAGAAAAAAATGCCAAGCAAGCTGCAGAAAACCGTTGATTATTAAATATTAATCTACTAAACCGATTTAATTGTTAATTTTAAATCAGAGCTTTATCTTGCATCTAAAAGTATTATAAGAAAACATAGTCTATCGAAAAGCATTCTATATTTCCAAAATTAATACAAAGGATTATGATCGTAAACGTCTTGTTTGCGCTATCGTCTCGATCACGTGGCTGCCTACAAGGGCAGCACTTACCGGCCGGGGAAAACGGAAAACGAGAACTCGGTACGATACGGGACGGAACGCGCACGAAGGTGAAAGAACCAGTCAAGGATTAGCCATCCGAGCATCAAAAGCGCAGAGGAGCTAGACATTCCAAAATTCGTGTTAAAAAGCCAGCGACTCCATAGATATTTGCCGTTATCGTTATAGTGCACAGTGAGTGGAGACAGTGCCATCGTAGGCCAACCATGAGATTGTGGAACCCCTCCACCCTACAAAATAAACATTTTATAGAGAGAGAGAGAGAGAGAGAGAGACGGCAACCTGAGATACCGGAGACAATACTGATTTGCTCCCCCCTGATAGAGCGACCGTATATTTAAGGTTAGCTGGCCAGCTTTACGTCGCGATTTTTGATAAACGATCGCGCTTAATTGCTCTCCCTCGTATCGGCGATCATGCGAAAATCGGTAGCGTGCATGCAAATGAATATCGCGAACAAAGGATTGTCAACGGATTGGCGATGCATGATATTGTGGCGCGCGCCGTATAAACATAAACACGCGGGCCAAGCGTATTGTAGAGTTTATTGAAAATAAACTAGTCCATGTTTAATTGAAACGAAAATTTACTGTTGTCATTAGTAGTAAGTGGGTTGAATGATTCCCGTCCCCTCCTGCTCTCCGGTTAGCAAAACGTGAATATTTCGATTTCGCCGCGCGCATTCCGGCACGACTGTGCATCGCGCGAGACAACGGAATAAAACGGAATTCGTACCCCGTTACAGGATGTAAAAAATCTTGATTTTTTTTATTTCAGAGAATTCCAAGAAAAATAATTACCACTATTAACCGTATCAGAAGTGGTCATACGAGTATATCGCTGAATAGTTAACTGCTTGAATATTACTAACTCAGATTTATGCGAATGCGATAAAGATAAAGATACTATCGAGCACATTTTTTGGTAACGCAATTTACACTCCAAACAAAGAGAAAAAATATTGAAAAATTAACGTAAATTTATTAGATATGGATCTTTATCGATAGTGACTTTATAACAATATAATATGTATATTATCAGATATTATCATAGAAATAAGTATCAATATTTAACAACGTCAATTACCAACTTAATATCATTATATTTACGTATTTTAATAGTTAATCTCAGTCATCAATCTTTTGTATATAGCGCTTAAAGTTTTAATATTTTAACTTAATTAATAGTTTAACTTATTTACCTATTTCCACTGTACTTTTCAATTTATTATTATATGATATTTACTGTATAATATTTCAATCTATTCAAAATTTTGGTTTCTCACGCCATTGTCTGGCATTATTCTAATGACGTTTAGCTATTCTATTCGATGGGGTTGCAATATAGAACGAATCGAAAGATCGAGCAAGTTGTGCGAGTGCGAGTGGGAAGAAGAATGAGGTTAGTAAGGCAAAAGATACGCTTGGAGTGTTAGAGACGCTATGTAGACTTATATATTTGATGAACGAATTTCCTGCCGCTTGCGGATGGTTGACACCACCTAGAGAGAATAAATGTATCACAAGACCACGTCAGAATTATTGACCGTATACTAGAAAAGTTTATGTCAATAAAAACTTACTATACTATACATACGCATTCCTGTACTTATACATAAATACATACAGTACAATTATTATCATAGCTATCATATTTACCTGTTGACAAAATGTAATACATACACTCGGCAACAAAATTATCGCAACAAAGATTTTTCATCGAAAAATTGCCATTTTTCAAATGCTTGTAACTCGGTCAATTTTTATCGTATTGAGATCATTTTTTTTTGTTTTGTAGAAAATTATGTGTACTTTGAGAAACAAATGATATCCACCGTCTGCAAGATAATGTCACATTGCTATGTCTTAATCAGGCATACCAACTTTTTTTTCTTAAAAAATTCAATAATTTGCACGTATGCCTGGATTAACAAAATTTTTTTTTCGAAAAACTACAGATTTCCTTTCAAAGTGCACTTTTCAACGAGTATTTTAAATCAAAATTCGACACTCCACGATTTTTTTCGACCGAGTTATGCCATTTTAAAGATATTCCAATGTTTTAGCCAAATACCGCCTACATCAGCATTACCCGATGCGTACCGCGAGGAGGTTGTTGGTCGGACTTACGCATCATTGTGGCCCTGAAAAGGGCCGATTGTGTAAACCGTTTTTAACATTAGGGATCCCGCAGCTCGTCACTTCCGCAGTATTTTTTTTACTCCAAACCCTATGCGCTTAAAGCCTTTAGTATCGTGTATTGCCACCTCGCTGACGAATTACCTCTCTTCAACGTTCTTGCGTATTAATGCATGCTCTAATTGAATCCTGAGGTATCTCGTGCCAAATTTCATTCAGAATTCTCCCAAGCTCTTGGAGGTTAGCAGGAGGTCTCTGTAAGTTACGTAATCGCCTACCCATCGTATCCCACACATGTTCTATAGGATTGAGATCTGGGCTACAAGCAGGATGAGGCAATACCTCTACGTTGTTTGCTGCTAAGTAAGTACGAGTTATCCTTGCAGTATGAGGGCGTGCATTATCCTGCATCAAGATAAAATTACGACCCATTTGCCGACGCATTGGAATTACGTGAGGACGTAAAACTTCATTTATGTAACGTCCCGCTGTTAGTCCAGAGGTTGGGATAATCACTAAATCTGATCGATGGTTCATTGATATTCCACCCCAAACCATAATGGATCCTCCACCAAACGCACGAGTTGGATCAACGTGATTTGGTGCAAAACGTTGTCGTCGACGACGCCAAATTCGAATCCTAGCATCATTTCCGTACAGACAAAACCGAGATTCATCTGTAAAAAATACATGTCTCCACTCTCTTGGTGTCCAATATTGATAATTTCGGGCGTAATTCCGACGAGCTCGTCGGTGGACTGCTGCTAAATTAGGCACTCTAGCACGAATTCGTGATCTCAAACCTCTGTCACGAAGGCGTCTCCTTATCGTCTGAGCGCTAATTCGTCTGCCTGGTAAAGCATTATTTCCAATTTGTCGTGTAACCTGCCTTGGATTGCGGAGAGCTTCATTAACAATGTTGCGATCCTCTCGATTTGTAGTAATCCTATGTCGACCTTGACCAGGTCTCCGGCGATAAGAACCTGTTTCTTCATACCGACTAAGAACGCGTGACACCGTTGAACGATGAATCCCTATTCTTCTGGATATTTCGCTTTGATTCAATCCCGCTTCTAGCAGGGCAACAATTTGAGCAGATTCGATTTCATTAAGCCGAGGCATTTCGATTGCGACGGTAATGGTTAATTGTTGTGGACGCTGTATAGTAAAATTGATGTTGAATGATTTTTTGCCTTAACTCTTGGCCAGTATGCTACCTTAAACTGTTATTTTATTTTTTTTAATTGATCTGTCGGTAAGGTTGACTAAAACATTGGAATATCTTTAAAATGGCATAACTCGGTCGAAAAAAATCGTGGAGTGTCGAATTTTGATTTAAAATACTCGTTGAAAAGTGCACTTTGAAAGGAAATCTGTAGTTTTTCGAAAAAAAAATTTTGGTAATCCAGGCATACGTGCAAACTATTGAATTTTTTAAGAAAAAAAAGTTGGTATGCCTGATTAAGACATAGCAATGTGACATTATCTTGCAGACGGTGGATATCATTTGTTTCTCAAAGTAGACATAATTTTCTACAAAACAAAAAAAAATGATCTCAATACGATAAAAATTGACCGAGTTACAAGCATTTGAAAAATGGTAATTTTTCGATGAAAAATCTTTGTTGCGATAATTTTGTTGCCGAGTGTAGATTGTAATTTAACTGGGAGTAATATTATTTTATTGACGGTTTATTATATTGACGGTAATATTTGTATTTAAAAAATAAGATATTGCTAAAAATATGTAGTATATAAATGTCGAAAATTTCATATTGTTTTATATATGATCATTAGGTTGATGGAATGTAGATAGGTACGGAAAGGAGAGACATGACAGTTTTGTGAGATATAAATTGTTTCATTTCTAGAAATCTTTAAAAATTGTTAGTCGTTCAAATAGCATAAAATCTATTACGTGAATTGTAAAATAAATAGTTCATCCTAAATTAATCGGCTAACATTAGCTTATAAGTCATTCCTATTTGAGATACAGACGAAGTAATTGAAAAAGGTGTCAATGATGATGAAAATAATATATTATTATGAAAATTAATTTTACACTAATATAAGTTAGTAATTATAATTTTTCGTTGATTTCCAGAATTTACTCTGCTGTACCAGTGATGTCTTGGAAGCAGGTCGAGGCATTGTCAGAATTGCAGTAACTGTTGCAGAATTATTGAGGTTCCATCAAACTCGTACACCTCTGCATACACAAGAATCTGGAACCACATTTAGCAACCATGTGTCCACTTAGTACAAATTTCATAGAAGAGAATTCTTAAAAATGCATTTATCTTAAAATAACATCTTAAACTATAATATACGACTATAGAATTATTATTTGTTTAGCAATACTTATAAGTGTATCTAGCCGCTTTTTTTATCTTTTTTTCATTGATTTTGTAATTCTGCTTTTGAAAGTTCATATAGAAGTAGAAGTAAATTAAAATAGCTTATAATAAAATTGGTTAGATTTTAAATAACGTAACATAATACATTTCTAAGCAATTATTCTTGAAAAGTCTCTTGAATTTCCAAATATCATGAAAATTGAATTCACAATTCCTGACGTCGTATAATTAATTAATTTTTCTTTATTTGTTTAAAATATTTGTTATTTCGTTATATATACAGCAGATCATCTCCATACACTTTTCAAAAAAGATAAATCTACCATGTGAGCAAGTATAGTTAATTTTATAGATTCATGCAATAAGTAAAATTGAAATTATCATTTGAATCGTAATTACAAATATTAATTTCGAACGGAAGACTGTTTTACTATTTATAACAATGGTTTTTAGTTGTATGGAACAAAAAAATTAATTTTACATAATACACAGAAACTATGATTATTTGAATACCTAAATATGTTTGTTTATTCTACTTACCAACTCTCGGCATTTCGAAATAAACGATTGATCTTCGATTAGCTTTGCCTTTAATGCATATTTATAGATTATACGTATATCGACTACGACTGCGTCGGACCGTATGATTAATTGTATTGATTGAAAACTATATATGAATAGCTGATTTATATACAAGCTTGAGAGTACTAAAAATGGAGTTTTTATAAAAAAATTTATAATATCATTTATTAACTTATCATTTTATAAGAAGGTTTTCAATCTGACATATCAAACAGTGAAAACGGGAAAAATACATTCACGCAGTTTTGAGATCGCTCGCTAAACTCCTTAATAGAGTAATAATTTTTCCCTATACACCTTTGAAAAAAGGTAAAATGGGCATGTAAGTAGATCGCAATCATTAAAGAGTGTTTTGCAATTACTTTTTTTGACTTCACAAAATATAGGTACCCAAAAAAATAAGTAATATTTACATAATGTATCCAAAGTAGAATGACAAATTCTACATATAAATTTCAAGTATTGTATTTGAATCAAGATAATGGAGTACACTACATCAGTATGGTACGTGAAGAGTAACGCATGAGTTACACCGACATAAAGATATCGTTGAAACAACAGCCATTGGGCTTATAAATATTTAGAAAGGTTTTCTTTATTAATTCAACGGATCTTGGCCGTTAAAATAAAAAATAGGTTGAACTAATTTATATAATTAGTTCAACCTATTTTAGGCTGATTTAGGCTCCGCGGTCAACGGAGTTGTACACGCCACCTTCCACATCATCGATGAGAAGAGGAAGGAGGAGGAACAAGCACGGGTACGAGCTCACGAGAGCTCGTCATCCGTGCTGATCGAAGAAGTATACGACGATGAGCCCCAAATTTCGTCGTCCACCCCGGGCATCGTACGCGTGGAGACCGCATCATTGCCAACGCCATCAGCTGGAGCCATTCCGGCGGCGGCGCCGAAGGTGTCGACGGGCATCCAAACTGACAGTGCTCCCGTCGGTACTGCCTGGGGCCCCGATTTCCTTTGCAAACCACCCATATAGGATAGTCACCGGTCGTGGGAAGAGATCGTAGAGGGCTTGAGGGAAGTCGAGCAAGGTTGGACCACTGGTTGAATGAATACCGTCCCCTCCTGCTCTCCGGTTAGCAAAACGTGAATATTTCGATTTCGCCGCTCGCATTCCGGTACGATTGCGCGTCGAGTGAAACAAAGAAATAAAACGGATTCTCACCCCGTTACAAAACCTAAATAGCAATATTTATAATGCCATTAAACATGCAACTCTGGAATACTCGATAAATAAAAAAACAAACACAACAAATTCGATAACCGTTACCGAACAAAATAAAAAAAAAAGAACGTTAAGAAAAATATGGCAGCAGACTAGACTAAAAACTGACAAAACAAAATACAATTAATCAATTAAAGAACTTAAGAAAATACTTTATGATAAAAAAAATGAAAATATAGATAACTATTTAATAAACTTAACTGCAACGGAGGCTTCGGATTATTCACTTGGGAAAGCAACTAAAAAAATTAATCAACCGCAAAAATGTTCACCTTCCATCTTAAAAAACGATATAACGTGAGAAAAATAAATATCGATAAAGCTAATACTTTTACTAAACATTAAAAAACGTATTCAGTCCGCAACAACGTATAATAACGAAAGATGAAGAACTAAATTTAATAATAGCATGAAAAATAATAATTATAATAACCATCCATTTAATAATATAAAAGTAAACGATATAATTCATCATTTAAAAAATAAGAAAAGCCCCGGATATGATAATATTAATGCAAAACTACTGAAAGAACTTCCTATTTAAGTGGTAAGAAACATAACTATAGTGTTAAACTCAATATTTTGTTTAAGCTATTTTTCTACGATTTGGAAAACAGCAATGATAATATTCATACCAAAACCGAGTAAACCACCGCAAAATGTTACATCTTACAGGCCAATTAGTCTACTGCCTACAGTTTCTAAAATCTGCGAAAAAATAATAGCTAAAAGGTTAAATGAAATATTATTAGATCAAAACATAATACCTGACCATCAATTCGGTTTTCGTAATAATCATGCTACAATAGAATAAATAAAATACCTACTAAAATAAGAAACCCCCTTAAAAAAACGAATATTGTAATGCTATATTTCTCGATGTAGCCCAAGCTTCGATTAAGTCTGGCACCAAGGACTTTTATACAAACTTAATAAAATTCTACTAAAAGAAATCTACTAAATCACTAAATTATACTATAATTACTAGAATCATACTTAAACTCCAGAACTTTCAAAGTATAAATAATGAAACAACAGATCTATACATAGAAGCCGGCATCCCTCAAGGAAGCGTTCTTAGCCCTATATTATACTTAATATACACTCATGATCTCCCTAAAATAGAAAATGTCAACATCGCCACTTTCACAGATGATACAGCAATCTCAATATCACATGATAATGAAATTACAGCTACTCGCATTATGCAGAAATACTTGGATACAGCACTTAACTGGTTTAATAAATGGAGGATAATGATAAATGAAACGAAATTAATACAAGTTACTTATACCCAAAAAGAGGATTTTGCCCACCGGTACACATAAACAATAAAATAATTCCACAAGAAAACCAAGTAAAATATTTCGGAATGCACCTGGACCAACGACTGACGTGGAGAGATCATATATTGACTAAACGGAAACAACTAAACTTACAGACAAGAAAATATTATTGGCTACTAGGGAACAATTTCAAACTATCAATCAAAAACAAATTATTAGTATACAAATCCATAATAAAACCAGTATGGACATAAGGCATACAACTCTGGGGTACAGCCACAAAATTCAACATGACATCATCGAAAGATTCCAGAACAAAACATTAAGATATATCATAGATGCATCATGGTTTGTAACAAATGAATATATAAGGAAAGATATCAACATAAAGACAGTAAAAGAAGAAATAGAAGCAGCGTCCAGCAGATATACCACCCACTAAGATAACAGAGCATCCAAATCGATTAGCCAATCCAAGGAAATAATCCACTCAACACCAACAACTTTAAGATTCAAAAATATAAAACACCATTTATACAAAAATAAAATTAATTAGCTTTGAATTAATGTACTGGTACTGATCATTGAAGAAGTACCTTCATGTAATAATACAAGTAAAATTGTAACTATTGTAATTTTAATAATATCATTTACTCATTGTTTATAGACAGATTGCAAATTTACTTTGCAAATTAAAAAATATATATGTTGTAACGGGGTAAAACCGTTTAATTATTTTATTCGCGCAATTACACTAAAAAGGACGCGCGTAGTTAATTATGCTCAGTACGCAAATCGGAGAGCATGTAAAGATAGTCGCCAGTCAACCAGTAAGTCGTCTTATCGAAGGAAAGTGAGTGGAAGCTATGAGGTATAAGTGAATCGAAAAGCACTTGTTAGTAATACGAATTAGATCTTTTATTATCCCTCATACTCTACAGAAGGTCGGCCCGCGCGTTTGTTTACGTTGACGCTCGCTCGTCGGTAACACGTATTGCCGGGACGCTCGCTGCTCTTTGTTATTAGAGCCGTTACATGCACGCATCGAATATTAGAAATTAGTTATAAATCATGCGATCGCGATCGCGAAATTAAGCTGGCCAGCTTACCTTATATTTGCAGGCGATCGGAGAACACAGCGATAAATCGCACAGCGCGGAACAGTTTTTAATGTTTGTTTTGCTCGCGGGTCGCGAATGCGCGCACACACTGGTTTCGCCCTCGATGGCGAAACCTCACGCACTCTCTCTCGTCCTGGTCTCGAGCTGGCGGATGCCTGGCACCTCGATGGCAGCTGTCACGGCTATCTGGCACTCTCGAATATCGCTGATCTGGCGTGTAGTCGTCAAGGGCACGTGAATCGGCGGCGGTAATAGCGAAAGCGGGCGGACACAACAACGGTCAATGCTTCACTGGTTCGAATTCTGTCGCGCGCATTCCGTCTGCTCACGTGCCGAATTCCCTAGTTACGAATTTCGTCCCCCCGGCAGGTGCTGCCCTCACAGACAGCAATTAAGCTAAATAATCAGCGCTAATTTGACGTTTACCGTCACAGCTGGACGTTTACCTTCCAGTCTGGACCTATAGGGTCCTCGACGATAATTCCATTAGCGCTGCCCTTTCCGAGGAGGAGAAGAGGAAGGATAATAAAGGGTTATAGTCCAATTGATGTTACATTCGTGTTTTATTGTGTAGCAAGGCGGTATATCGGTGGTTGGTCTCGGTGGCAATTCCTGACCCTGGTCGTCCAACGGGGGTCGGCCGCGCGCCTCCCACCTCAGCCTCTCTTGGACCAGGTCGGCGTGTTGTCGCACGCGGGGGCAACGGTCCGTGCGAGTCACCCCGGGGTAGTGGCATACGTTGCATCCTTCCCACTGAGTGCGGGAAAGGGTGCCCCGTGTGAGGCCTCGCTCTCTGGGGGTCAGAGGCAACCCGTTTCTACGGTTCGGGGCGGACCACAGTGGTCTTTCAACCGTGGGGTCCGCACCCGCGGGGCCTAAAACCACATTGATGTGGATGGGCCCCGTTGCTTGACCGCCCTGGCTCCCGTCCACATTTAC